TTACGTCCGGTATCGCCGATAGGTATTCGGTCAGACGGCTGGCCGGCCGGCCGGCCGGCTGGCTGGCTGGCTGGCTGGCTGGCTGGCTGGCTCCCAGCACGAAGGGAGGTCCGTCCAGGCTGAGCGAACCTATGTGATCACTGCTTCTTATAAATCAACTGTAGGTACAAACAAGGACATGAAAAACTGATATGAAAAAATCAAGAATTCCTAGCCCTTTGACAGCTAGCCTATTAAAAAACCGTGTCACCACCTCAATTACGGGAAACAAGTACGCCATCTTTAAATGAGTTAATTGACTTATACCCGGCGTTAAATAGACGAACTATTTGTATTACATCATTTTTATTGCATTTTCATTGCGACATTTATCATTAGACATCCGGAATTTCTCGACAGACAGTCTATTAACCCATCCAAAATATTACTCATTACTATAAATACCTAAGCGTGCTTCGCAATACTCGATCGAGGTATACCAATTAACATGCCTTCTTCTGTTCAACGCCACACGGTAACCAAATCGTATAGCCTTAACTAGCTTTATCAATATCGCGACACTATTACCGATAAAAATCTACGCAGACAGCCATGAGGCCGGTAGTAACAGATCCATTGCTTTCCAAAATGATCGTTCCTTCGACAATGTCGAACAGTACTTCCCATTTGACGAAAAAAGCGGCTAAATAATTTCTTCGTAATAACGTATTGCACATAATAATTAACGGACAAACACAATAATTAGGGAAGATCCCGATTTGCAGAAGCTGGTTGGCCTGTAGTAGTTCACATACGAATCTAATTGCGCGTCCGGTGCTCATTGAGAAGCGAAGATAAATGGACGTTGTAAGAACGTCTCGATTAGCTTCTTTGGATGATATACCTTACGTTAGAATTACCCATTGGACCTACCTATACGACGACCTGCTGTAAAACAGCAATATTTCTAATGGCGTGGGGAACACGTTTATCTATCGATTACTTACGGCATAAGCTAATATCTTTAGTCGTCATCCCTACGCGCTCGATACAGCTGCAACGTAGAGTTGGAATCGAACAAAAATACGCAAACAAAACAAATTCGGGAAAAATTGGGTCGACGTCTTCGGTCGCCGTTGCATGCGGATCGACAGCTTGAGGCTGTTAGATAATGACAAGAAGCGATTCGTCGAAGGTACCTGGAAAAAATCAGGATTCTTCACCTTCACTGATTGATTTGGTGTATTTTCCTCTAGGTTAAATTTACTTGCAAATATAGTTTTTTTTCTTTCGTGGAAATGTCAGGTGTTTTATACGGCACGCGGGTGAAAACATACCTAGGACTTTCAGCAGACCGATCGCGGTACGTTTTAGAATCGAGTTTGCATATTTATGCCTAATCTAACCTAACAGATAACTCGAAAAATACTGGGTAGCTCGAAGACTGTGTATTGCCGATATAGCGGCAAGCAAAGACTAATACACTGAGTGTAAGCCGCAGAGCCCGTTGTTTACTCAAATATGATACAAGCTGGGAATGTCTGATAGAGCGGCCTAGGCTCGTCTGACTGCTTGAGAGGACTACCTACCATTTTTACGCGGCTCAAGTTAGTGTCCAACTAAGGGGCTGAAGGTAACCGGCATATCTCATGCTCATGTTTCCTTTGCTCATTGATTTCAAGTTTATCGATTTGAGTAAGCTTCTTCTATCAATCAAAATATATGCGTGCACGCCTTACGCTTTAATTGGAACACTCCCTGTTCGTTTGTCAAATAAATGATGCATAACAAACATTTTGATCATTACTTCATGTATGATGTCCTTTGAAAGACTCTACTGAAATTCGCTTTTAAAATTTAATAGTCGATAGACTCGTCTTATGCAATGCACCTACGCGCGTAATTAATTTATCAATCACCTTGAATCACCGTACGACGACGCGGGAAGCACAGTAATGCGCCGCCCCACTTTGTGCGCCTTGGAACCCATCACGACAAGCCCCGTTCTAAATATACTGTTTGCCTAAAGTTGCCCTGACTTAAGATGGTTTCAAAGGGGCATTTAGGCGTAAGATAGAAGCTCCATGCTTATTGTTGCTGGCGTTACTCGTGGGTAGTGCCATTGTTGTTGATCCTTGCTGAGCAGTGATGGACCGCTGACACTCTATTATTTATTGGATTATTTCTTAATATTGTTACAAGAAGGCAATTGATGCTAACAAATGGGGTAGGATATATTCTCTGCGGTGTTCCAGCTGTTGCTGTACTATTGTAAAAAGATTTCACGGGCTCATCGGATCATATTTACCGATAGTTTCGTTGCCTGCCACTTCTACTCCTGCCACCGCACTACTGGTTCGTCAAAACGGTTGCTGAAGGGGACGGCTGTGTCGGCGTGGGCTTGTGTCTGTGAAGGGGGCAAGGGTTTTTATTTGCACTTCGATATCTGACAGACGGCCAGCGCCGGTGCTGCGCTAAGTAGATTTCTATGAGATGAACAAGTTGCGAACTATAGCAATGGCAACAACAGCAGTGCCGCCGATGTCAGCGACAACGATAGTGGCAAGAACATCATTGCGTGTCCTACGGCGGCATGCATATTATCGACGCTATGGTATTGTTGATGCCATTGAAAGTATCTATAGAATATGCTGTTGCAGTACAGGTAACACGGCACTCAAGTTGACAGCGCAGCGGATCAGTGTCAGCTGTGGTCAGAACACTGCTGTGACGTCTGTGCGTTTCAGACGATTTTTCGAATAGCAGTTGGCCGTTGATAATACTGAGGTGTGGACGGACGAATAGATTTTTGCTGATGCTTCTATTACGTATCAGATGCAAGGCAGAGCACAGCGCCCTCGAACGGTGAGAGAGGCTGGCGCCGTGACCGTCGTGGTCGTTCAACGAATGTTTCCAACAAATGACGTAAACTTTTGAAAAGCATCAAATATATGTGTGTAGAGGATACCGAAGGCTTTTTCTTGTGATATCGAGCGTCCAGCGTTCACTGAGGAGGTTGCCAAAGCTGCAGTTCAACTTGTATATGAATATGCTATGTATAAAGAAGAAACATAGTTTGATAAAACACACTGTAATTTGCTGCAACTAACAACAAATATAGTAATAATTAATGCTTGAGTGGTACCTATGTCGAGTTTACTGATGCTCGATTTTTTCAACATAACAAAAACGTTAACACGTAGATACAAGCAACCCAGTAAATGTTACCGCCAGGAACTCTATGGATGCGATTAAGATCGCGCTTAACTAACCGAGGTGATTCAGGTAGAAGTAAAAAACAGATGAGAAACTTCGGCTCCATATGTCGTATAGGAATAGAGGTGGAGCCGCAAAGAGGCTGAACTCACAACTGGGGTTAAGAAACACTTCGAAAAACGTAGATTTCGAATCAGTGTTAAGGAAAGATCAAGATACCTGTCTCTATTCCGTTTTTTTAGCTGTACGTAAAGGTGTGCCTTGAAATCATTATTCTCGTCCGATATGGGGCTCCGAATTTTCAATGTATTCGTACCTTGGCCTTTTTGAACACCACTATAAAAGCCGTGAAATGACTTCATAACAGCGCTGCATTGAAATGTATATATTCTCTCAATATAACTAACCTGCTTTGTAAGAAAGGTCTTCTTTTGCACGACGGTACAGAATTTAGCACGCGATTAATTCAAAATTTACTTAAGCTAGCAGCCTTATCACCGTCGGATCAGCACAGCGAGGGCCCAATTCCCTCTGTATCGTTCAGTAATTCCAATACGCACAGCAACTTCGCCGGTACTTGTCAGAATGAGTATCCAAGCTATCCTGGGCATTATTGCCCGATTTAGAAGTATGATGCCCATCAAACTGTCGTTGCCCCTTTCTTAACGCTCACTGCTGTATTTATTGAAGTACACTTACCACCAGTTAATTAATATCTGCGGTGTGATAAAGTCCATAATTTACTAACGAGGACTTGTCAAGACTATATGGCAAAAGAAACGAATGTCAAGTGTTTGTCTTTGAACTCAAAGTCTAGTCTGAAATTCTCTTACTTGTAACATATATCTGACGTTAGCTTGAGGAGATATCGACGATACTTTGGCTAAATGTTAGAGAGATGTACAAAGGTCTTGGAGATGCCTTCAACATTATATTCAGTAAAGGCAAGAATTCTGTGGTTCCGCCAAAACATAAAAATTTGCTGTGTTGGTAAAAAGGGTATTAAGTGTGAAGTTCAATCTTTTTCCGTTAAATATTACACACCCTAATCCCGTGGACTTTTACCTTGCCATATACATCTGACCATAGCACAATTCCAATTGAGAGCTTACATTTGCCCAGCCTTGGCTCTACTTAGTGACGATTCCAAAAGGTCGAGATCTCTCGCAAGTTACGCCGTTGAAGCCTTCTATTGTGACGGATGCCTGCCTCGTCTGCTGCCTTATGTGAGCGCCCGATGGAGGACAGCACGGAGTCTAGCGCTGGAGATTACTATCTATATTTTTCTCTTTAGATTTCGCCCATTCGAAGAGTAGAAGTTTTTCAAAAGGTGCCCATTCGCGTATATATATATATATATATCAGAGTGTTTTGCTAGAACTTTTTTGATAACCGTGTATCCTCTGCGACCCTTACACGACAGTCATTATCCGCTACCTAGTCATTAGTGAAATCGAACGGTGCTCTCACTTACCACTAGATCGCCCACATACGAGCACATGTATAAGACCATAGTAAGAAATGTGGTTTTTCCTTTGTTTATATATTCGGCACCGCATCTACTTTTATATGCGGTACTAATAGCTTTCTCAGTCGAAAAAGGGCCTTTAATCGTTCTATCATTGGAGAGATTTGCTGAAAAGAACTGTTGGAAAACGAGCTATGACAAAAGCGAGAGGGGGAGTCAGGTATTGTGAACCCTCACCAGCGTGAGCATCAGACCCCGCGGCAGGTTCACGTATCCCTACGACTAATATACCAAAGCGACTTTGACGGCCATCCTAGCTGTGTCAACCGCCGGACTAACTGCTAAAGTGTGTTAAAACGCTACGCTCACGTAACGACAATTTGGAGTGCGTTTTCTATGGGTGGTTCCCTTAATATCTTGCGTCCGTGCGCGGAGCAACAGGGAAGCATAAATGCAGTTACAGAATGAACGTGAGCACCACCGCTATCACTTTCCCTAACACAATGGACGACCCCGTTGATCTATGAGAATTTATGTAAAATGAAGATGGAGCCATGTATACATTTGCACTGAGTCTCTCGTTAGCTATGGTTAGAAGATCGAGACTCTTGTGAAGGCGTCAGTTGATCGTTATTGGTGTTGTGCCTGGAATTGATAAAATTTACCCGTTTGTCAGCCTACAGTTGATCGTGTTCTGATGCGTTGTAGTATTCTAATTGATGCTTGTAAACTGTGCATATCTAAGGAATCGAATTAATTTGGTTAGATTGCTTGTCTACGCCAGTGCCTTTACATCTGATGCCAACAAACAGCTGAGTTGAGAGGTGGAGTCAGAGATCTCTCTGAAAAAGTAGCAATTATTCTGCATTCACGAATCTTCCGGAACGCTCAGCGGTCGCCGCTGTAGGATAACTAAATTTATCGAGGAAAGGTAACTTACAATTTTTCGCTTTAAGGCAGAGGTCTTTCTAGAGAATGCCAGTGCAGCGGAAAACGGCATCCAGGTAGTGAAGCAATTATTGGATACCGGCCACGCACAGGTTTGCCTATACGAATTGTTGCGTGGGGTTGTTGTTCAATAAAGGATGCTTGAACACATTGAGCAACTAATTTTTTATTGTTGCTCAAATATATTTTATTCCATAAGGAGCGAAATAATGTGGATAGACAGACAAGCGGGGAGGCGGGGATAAAATAGACGAAATCATGTTCCTGCGATAGATAAAAGATGTAAACAATAGTATCATCATTGGAGCATGACCATGCAGATTAAAATACCTCCAATATGATTACTGTAAAAATGCTATACATCTAAGTCTCGAAAGCCAAAATTCGATCGACCTTTTTCAACAGCCTGGATTCAAAGGGACCAGGATAAGGTTAATTGACGGTTTCAGCAGAGCTTGTCCCACGGGTTGCCTCATTACCTGGCTTCGAAATCTACGTTTCACTTCGGTGCTGAGCTTGTTTACTTAACGACGTTAGGTATCGTTGAAGACGATCATTCTGAAAGGCCCTGAAACTTACCGAACTGCTATTCTGAAGAGCCGTAGCCGACGCAATTGCAGCGTATGATGCAAACAAGATCTGATAGCTATTATTTCTATAAACATCGAGCCATAACACATTCTTACGAAAGTGCTCCAAACCAAATTATGTTGTCTGTTCTGCCTTTAATACATCATGTCAAATAATTACACGCTAACAATTGCAAGATTTCAAGCCTCTTAAACAGTTCAGGTCCTCAACCATTAGGACAAACCTGCAGTAGTTGCAGGAACGATTGCCAGTCATGTTCGTGAAACGGATGCAAAATTGAACTCTGAACCAGTGGGTAAGATTTCGCAAAGTCCTGCGTTGCATCCGCAGTGTATTCAGGTCTGCGTAGCCCGTAATCGAGCTGAAGTAACTATACAGGTTGTTCTATTAAGACAATATGTTTAGATCAAAAAGACCACTGTAATTATGATGAACCATATAACCCAGAAAGGTATTCAGTGTTATATAAAGATGATTTAGATCAGGGCGCAGCACAGAGTGGCTGGATGCAGGTGCAACCAAAAAATAGACGGAGTGTTGGCCTTCTTTGCTTTACATTCTAAAAAAAAGAAAGCGTTTATTTGTGCTTGCTTGAGACAAAAGTCACACCTAATATATGGTCCTCCTTTACACGGGCCTTGCAGTCCAGAATACGCTACATAGTCATACAATGATAAAAGAAACACACAATGAACAAAGAAGAATGATCCAATGATAGTTCTGTTTTGGCCACTTTGGAAACGAGCAAGTTGAAGTTGAAGTTGAAATCGGTCCAACCAAACCTTGTCGAAGCTTACAGTTTGAGGTGAGAAAAATGATTTCGTACAAGTGTTTGCTACAGTCAGTGACTTCTGATCAACACTACCCACAATAATATATGAATGCAACATTTTATGGAGAGCATAATATCGGCATAGAAATAAAGTTACTTAATGGACGATCTGTGGCAGTTTGAAGGACGCAAACATCTAGTTGGATTTAAATAAACGTCACGGTAAGTACGTATCTTAATTTGTCAAGCGATCCTATGTCGATCTATTGAAGATGGGGATTGTGCAGGATGTACGGCAAGTTTGCGTAGGTTATGAGCTCAAGGCGACGTTAACACCAACTATTTCTGCTACCAGACGATTCACAGCAACGTTTTTAAGTTCTTTTTTATCATCTAGAAAGGCTGCACCGAACTAGATAGCTAATAATCATATTGCAATGAATTTCTAGTGCTTGAGTCCTGTTCCCGCCGGTCCCCCAGTTCCCAGCCGTGATCGTTTAAACGCAATAAATCTAAATAAAACTAACTCGGCCAATGAGAACCAGACGATAATTATTTTCTTAATTTGAAAAAAACCCAGTGGCTATTGCTTCGCAAACGAGAAGGATACGACTGCTGCGCAGACCTACAATGCCTATGCTGAACTCTGTTTATCGTACGCACGAGACGGCTGAGCTAAACGCAGATCACTCGCTTTGTTCTGTGTCGGCCAATGACGAGTACTTCTTCGGGCTTTAGAACCAAAAGAAAAAATACACTGAACGTTATATGGTATCTTAGGTAGATAACTCAAGCGATCAGACAATGTCTCGAGCTGTAAGTCCGTTGTTTCCGTGATGAGGCAACGCAGTGGCACTAGTTGTTTGCGCAGAAAACAAAAGGATTAACCACTTTCTACGTTTCATAGGATACAGTCGTTGCTCATTCCGATGAAGAGATTTGTCAAAGTTTTAGAAGACCTAGCTGGCAATTGCTCGAAGTATCAAATGAGATGTCGCTACGCTGTCCACGTCCTAATACAATAGGACGCATCATAGATACTCAGTTAGAAGTAACATTCTAATTCTGTTCTGAGGTGTTTTACAACTTCGAATTTAATTATGGTGTAAGTCAACTTTGGTATTTTTGAAAATAACTTCGGATGCCAAGTGTTAGCTAGATATGGGGTGCCTAAGGCTTTTAATGCTCTCTTCGTGGAAATCTGTCTTGAGAAATATCCTCTTAACTCTTGCGAACGTTTCTAGGAAGAAGTGACACGCTAAGCCAACTAACAAGCACGTGAGATAAATAATCTTTTCATGTTCATCACTACAGATAAAGAATAATTTTCAAACACAGCACTGCAATTTACAATACACTAGTCGAAGTTAAGTAAGTTTGAAACGAACGTTTCAAAGTTATAGCCGTTGGCCCCACGCCTTACAGTAAAATCGTTGCTTGCTCACGTTAAAAAAAAGCAATATGAATTATCCGGATCCGCGGATGAATATTCCGCGTAGAAATTGCTTGGTGTCTCTTAAATATGATCTTATGCAAAATAATAGTTACTCAGAGTTTCAGACGAATAATCAGGAAATAGCATGCAAAAAAATAATTTTCGCTTTATTTCCGTTATAAAAAAATATTCTAGTTCTACAAGCTTGAATTTCTTAATAATTTATTAAAGCTCTCTCGCGCGAAGGCAGATGCTACATTGCTTTAGCATCGGCTACAGATATTGCAGTGCAGGTCGACTTCGCTATTTCTAATGTATCATTGAATGATATATATCCGTAGGAATATTTGAGAGCGATGGAGAGAGAGAGAGAGAGAGAGAGAGAGAGAGAGGGGGTGTTTTCTATGAGATAATTACCGTATCTTCTATCATGAGTTAGGCTATGAAACTGACGTTTCTGTCCTTAACGTTACTAACACGTACAGTTACTCTAATACCCTAGATGATCCAACTTCCATAGCGAGGTGGCCGAAGTGAGGATTTGCTGCGAGATATTTTTAGCCCGTTTTATATATTAACGAAAATCTGATTTTATCAAATCAATTTTTAAGGTCTACTCTAGGCGACCTAAAGATTAAAGAATCGTCGTAGGACTACACGTTGCAAACGGGAAACGAAAGAAACCGGTTTTCCAATGGTGACTGATCATGCGAACCTAGGTGATTAGGTGATAGGCTGCTTAAAGAAGTGTCTGTTGTACTCTCAATAGTTCTGTATTAAGAAAAGAAAATTAACTAATGCAAACAAATCATAAGCAATGCATGCTCCTAATAATCGCATCTATATACTGAATATATGACGGTTTTTATTATAGTTTAATCCTAAAAACTCGACTCGAAACTCGGAAGATCATACATGTCGACAATATTGACTTCCTTAGCAAAAGTTAGCGCCAGGCGCAAGAATTTTACGGAGAGAAAGGAAAACAGAGCATAAGTAGACGTCTGCATCGTAAATTCAGTTATGTTTCCTTCGAAGAGCTTTTCGTTAAAGATTTACCTAAATGCAGATTCGCAAGACGAGTTGTTAGACTGACGTGGACCCCTTACAATTGTCGTTTAATTAAAAAATCTATTTACCGAAGGTAGCCACTCCCTTTAAACTCTACGAAAAAGCTACTATTTTTAATTTAATAATAACACCGTTTAATATGACTACAGATATGCGGAAATAACTTAGAGGCCCATTGATGAAGTTACTGTATTTCTTTTTGAAGTTTTGGCGGGAAAAATGTATTGCTATAGAAAAGTGAGCAGCGTCCGAAGAGAGTTTCTCCACATTGGCCAACGGTTATACCGTGATTTTCGCTGAATAGCGTGGAAATAATGTGCGAAAAGAGTTGGAAATATCTCATAATGAGGCTGTTGACTGAATTACATAGTAATACTGCTTTTCTAGATAGGACACTGCGGCTAAAACGATAGTAATTGGTCATGTATTTACCTAACGATCTTGTACTATAACGCCTTCAGGGAAGGCACACTTTACGCACAACCGAAAATTAATATAATTTTTTTCCTACCATTTACTAGTTATGTTAACAACCTCATCTTAGAGAAAAACACTCATAACCGTTTCCCTGAAGTGATTCCGATCAACTAAATTGTTGAAACATCATCCTTAATCAAATCAGCATCTTTGAAACTAGCAATTGATCTTAAACAATCTAAAAAAGTGGCTTTTGTTGAACAGGAGCCACCAACGACCGCGACAAACTTGCCCGGGTTTGACCATAACGATCCTTTGACATCGCAGCGACAGCGATGACGTAAGTACGAGCGAAAGTAAAAGCAAACAGAGGTTCCGGCATCATTCCTGTATTTAGCACGCGCTTATGCCCCCCAACGAAAGAACTCCACTTCGCATATCGCCGTTGCTCGCCCCCCGTCGGTCGAGCAACCGTTGACGAATTCGCTGAGCGCGAAATCATCGGCTGCGGAGCAACCTACATTCAGCACACAATGAAAAAGTAATGCATTTTTGGCGACGAACAGCAGTGAACCTTTGTCAAACGACTGTCATGAGCATCGTTATCAGCAAGAGCGCGTTACCATTCACTGATCGGCCTTTTTGTTTATCGTTGGTGGCGCCATTCACCAAGGATTAACGACGATGGCGATATCAG